AACAATTATTATCAAAATATTAGTTTACTTTGAGGATGCATACCTTTGGAAGAAACAAAATTATAGATATACATTATAATCTTTAACGGCGTTCATGCCATCCATTGTTCGATAAGTGAGAAAAATATAAATATTATATAAAGCTATACAATCCGTTTATTTCGTTGTAGTAGTCCAAACTGACATCTTAACTCATATTTTAAATCTGTCTTAGTATATTTGTGCCTTGGCAAAATAATAATGATTGTGTTAATAATTTGTTTTGTTTGGTCAATATGCCATCTGCCGCTGTATATCACAACATATTCAATGGCTCGCTGGTCAATAATTGTATATTATTATATGATATAAAGATAGCTGCAATCTCATTGGTCTAAACAGTAGTCAACAGAACAAATTATAAAATTATTTTCACTGAATGTAGTATCGTATTCAATGACTGAATTGAATTTTCCCAATCTAAAAATTGAATCATGCTCTTAACTAGTGAGCATAAGGGGTTAGGGGATATCTACGAACTTTGACTCCGGTTAAATTTATAAATAAATAACACAAATATGGTGTTTTGAAGTTACTAAAACTTCTGATGTTTCTACGTCACTGTTATTCTTTGTTGTTTGTCAGTATGCCATGATCCGTATTTTTCAGTATTTAAAAACCTGAGCTAAACATTTTGGTAGTTTTTCTATGTATATGTGACTGACTCTTCGAATGGATGTTAAACTTCAAAATCAAGTATTGACAGTTGGCGCCAAACAAACAAGATACTTTGGATTAATTTTGTGAAAAGTCTAAACATATTACTGACAGTAAATTGTGAATTTTTGAACTCGCCATTGTCACTGTGTATTAGTAATATTTTAAAAAAGAATCGGGGAAATTCTGGAGTATCCTGCACCTTCATGAAGATGTCCCTTATTAGTATATTTCTGGTGTGATTTTTGATTGGTGGGGAAAATTTGAATTGCTGCCAGTCTTTATTTTTTTAAGCAATGCATGCACACGGTATATTTTAATGTATGTCATATATCATTCAATAATGCTGTGCAACTGGTTATCTGCCTGTGTTAAGATTTTGAAATATTTGGAATTGTGTTTTTGGCCACACCGAACTTCGAAATTGCTTATTTTAGGTCACTTGTCCTCATAGGGAAATTTTCATATCTATAATTGTATTGGAATTGACAAAACTATGCCCATATACTTTCATGCTGTATTTTAAGTAACTGGTAGGATTTACTTAGTTGTCATTGCGTTAATCAAATTCACTGGGTGTATTATTATATCCACTGACATAATTGGATTTTTATTTTCAAATCTAAGACTAAAATGACCATATAGCTGAGACTATTAACTACGCGTGTGCATAAAATAATTGTTGCATTTTGTTCTTTATGGTATATTTCTCGATTCAAATCTTCCTACTTCACAATAATACTTAAAAGATACACATTAATAGTAAGAATATTGATAATTTTTTACGCAGCGTTTGTGTAGCCATTGAACGTATGACGTCATCTGTTAAGTACGTCGTTTTTGCACTTTAGGCTGATCATGAAATAAACAATTTTTGACAAAATTATCCGTTAAATTTGGTGCGATTTCATCGGTGAGACGTCATATGGACTTCGGCTACAGTTCAAGGCTTCAATTTTTATGCCTTTACAATAAAATAAACAACAATGTTACTAAATTTGTATTTTATTTGTTTAATACAACAGGGAAAGCGTCTTTTTCCTAAATCGCAGAAACATCAAGTCGAATGTTCGTCTCAGCCTGTATCTTTAATCATTTAATCTGTACCTGTTACTTCTTTAGCGAGTGTTTCTTTTTTGCTTACTTAACTGTTTTCTAACAAGAATCCTTTGAATTGTAAATACTTATTCCACAATGTCTGCTGCATAATTTAGCAAAGGTTAATTTTTTGACCACCGTGTTATAAATTCATATACTACAGAGATCTTTGATATGTTTTTTTGTTATGATTTCAAGAATATGATACCTTACAAAATGAATGAAATGCACTTATTTAGCATTGGACTGTACAAAATAAATGTTAATCTATTCTCAAGGGCGTTTAACTACTTAAATTAATTAATTTATTTTCATACAATGTAGGATTTCGGCTGTAGTACACATTTGGCAGTCTAGGCGACATCAATGATTCATTTTCCAAACCTTTTACGGGAGCAAACGGTCTTCTTTGACTCATATACACTTTTTATAATTGCTAAATCAATTTTTAAATTGACCTTGTTAAAACATATATTAAAAATTCCAATAATGGCAAAAGAATTGTGAATATTTTTTTTCTTCACATTTCTGTTATGCTTATTTAACTTTTGATTTATTTGACAAAAATATTTGATAAAGATTTAAATAAAATGTATCTTTGTTGGTAAGAAAATAAAATCAACGATAAAACGGTATCATTTTCATACTATTTATTGATTATATTGAACATAGTTGAACACAGTTGATTGCCTTACACGAACGATTATTTTGTTGAAGAGATGATCACATCAACTGTATATGGCTATTACTGTTGTTTATTAAGCAATAGTTCAAGGCTTCAATTTTTGTGCCTTCACAATAAAATAATTGATCATGTTGTATGTATTAACAAGAATAATATATGCTTACAGATCATTTGTATTTTCATATACTGGTATAATATGTCACTCATTAAATTTATATATAATAAACATGTCTTATAATGTACTTGATCATTAAGTAAATGCGCGGGTTTCTTTGTTATTTCTTAAAAGATAATCATTAGATGTTTGTACGAAGAAACTTAATTGCTATTTATTAGAATAGGGCGATATTGGAATTGAGTAATCAGTCAGATTTTGACCTTTTATGCCATATTTGACAGATGACCGAATCATACACCATTCATAGTGTGCAGTTCTCTAACATCGAAAGTTTGTTATCTTCGGAATTTCAAATATAATAGAAACACTCTCAAATATTTGGATTAAAGTCATAATGTCGCGGATTCTGAATTCCATGATATAACCTCAAAAGTGCACAATTCCTGACTCACTGTCCGATGTAAGATGGCGAAACTTTTTCTATTTTAAGTTTTAACAGTAAATACAATTAACTAATGACAAAATTTATGTCTGTTTTATTATAATATTGAATATTTATTCCATATAAAACATAATGTTTACAGACTGTCACATCTTAGTTTAAATCATTAAGCATATCATGAATAATATCAAATAGTTTTTGAAAGAAAGGCAAGCATTACTTATTATCACATGTTTAGTGTATTTCAAAATCGATTAGTCAGTTGATATTTGCACTAATTTTAATCTACACTATCTGAACTGACTAAAGTTAGAGCTTTTCTAGTTATTTGTGCTTTAGAAGATGATTTTTAAAGATTTTTCCCTATATATCCCTATGTAAAAATTTGTCAACCCCCCCCCCCCCAAATGTGACCCCACCCTACCCCTGGGGATCATGATTTGAACAAACTTGAATCTTCCCTATCTGAGGATGCTTCCACCAAGTTGCAGCTTTTCTGCATGATCGGTTTCTAAGAAGATTTTTAAAGATTTTTCTCTATATATTCAAATGTGAAAATTCAACCCCTCCACCCCTCTCACTGAGGCCCCACCCTACCCATAAGGATCATAATTTTATCAAACTTGAATCTACCCTAACTGAGGATGCTTTCACACAAGTTACAGCATTTCTGGCCGATTGGTTTCTGAGAAGATTTTTAAAGATTTTTCTCTTTATATTACTATGTAAAAATTCGACCCCCCATTGTGGCCCCATCCTACCCCTGGGGATCATGATTTGAACAAACTTGAATCTACACTACCTGAGGACGCTTCCACGCAAGTAATAACATTTCTGACCAATCAGTTTCTGAGAAGAAGAGTTTTAAAGATTTTTCCTTATATATTCCTATATAAAAACTCGCACCCCCCCACCCCATTGTGGCCCCACCCTACCCCTGGGGATCATGATTTGAACAAACTTGAATCTACACTACCTGAGGATGCTTCCACACAAGTTACAGCTTTTCTGCACAATCGGTTTTTGAGAAGAAGATTTTTAAAGATTTACTCTATATATTCCTATGTAAAAATTTGACCTCCATTGTGGCCCCACCCTACCCATGGGGATCATGATTTGAACAAACTTGAATCTACACTTCCTGAGGATGCTTCCACACAAGTTTCAGCTTTCCTGGCTGATCAGTTTCAGAGAAGAAGATTTTTAAAGATTTACTCTATATATTCCTATGTAAAAATTTGACCCCCCCCCCATTATGGCCCCACCCTACCCCTGGGGATCATGATTTGAACAAACTTGAATCTACACTTCCTGAGGATGCTTTCACACAAGTTTAAGCTTTTCTGGCCAAATGGTTTTTGAGAAGAAGATTTTTAAAGATTAACTCTATATTTTCCTATGTAAAAATTCGACCCCCCCCCATTGTGGCCCCACCCTACCCCCGGGGAACATGATTTGAACAAACTTGAATCTACACTACCTGAGGATGCTTCCACACAAGTTTCAGCTTTTCTGGCCAAATGGTTTTGGTTTTTGAGAAGAAGAGTTTTAAAGATTTACTCTACATCTTCCTATGTAAAAATTTGACCTCCATTGTGGCCCCACCCTACCCATGGGGATCATGATTTGAACAAACTTGAATCTATACTAACTGAGGATGCTTCCACACAAGTTTCAGCTTTCCTGGCTGATCAGTTTCAGAGAAGAAGATTTTTAAAGATTTACTCTATATATTCCTATGTAAAAATTTGACCCCCCCCCCATTATGGCCCCACCCTACCCCTGGGGATCATGATTTGAACAAACTTGAATCTACACTTCCTGAGGATGCTTCCACACAAGTTTCAGCTTTCCTGGCTGATCAGTTTCAGGGAAGAAGATTTTTAAAGATTTACTCTATATATTCCTATGTAAAAATTTGACCCCCCCCCCCCATTATGGCCCCACCCTACCCCTGGGGATCATGATTTGAACAAACTTGAATCTAGACTTCCTGAGGATGCTTTCACACAAGTTTTAGCTTTTCTGGCCAAATGGTTTTTGAGAAGAAGATTTTTGAAAAATACCAACAAATTTTCAATGATTTTTTATTATCTCCCCTTGAAAGAGGGCGTGGCCCTTCATTTTAACAAACTTAAATCCCCTTTACCTAAGGATGCTTTGTGCCAAGTTTGGTTGAAATCGGCCCAGTGGTTCTGGAGAAGAAGTCGAAAATGTAAAAAGTTTACGGACGGACAGACAGACAGACGGATGGACAGACTGACGCCGGACAAAAAGTGATCAGAAAAGCTCACTTGAGCTTTCAGCTCAGGTGAGCTAAAAACACACAACATATGTAAGTTTTCAGAAGTTTAACTCTAAAAATGTATTGACTGTTGTCACTACTACTTTAATTGTAGATAACTTGCGAGTCCCATGTTCAAGCAACTGTTTTCACAAAAGGAAAACTTTTCCTTTGATGTGTTATGTGTGTAATGGAAATCCACTTTAATGCGTACCACGTCATCAGTTTCAGAGAGTGGCGATACGGAATCGGAAACCGACAGAGTGGTGATCCGGAAAATCGGATCACACTCTGTAAAATTGTCAGTATCAAGAAGGGAAAATTGATGGGTATATAATAAAACATCATATCATATGGTATTATACATTAAAAGATACAATATCATATTATATTCTACAACATCATATAATATGATAAAATATATCATATCATAGGAATAGGAATCATGATAATATATATCATATATATCAACAATCACATCTATCAATTAAGCAAGTTTGAGTGATTTAGGACAATGTTTCCTTAGCATCCTTGATAATGGAGATCAGGCCCTGTATCTGAAGCTAGCCTCATATCCAAAGTTAAATGAACCATGAAAGTTAGTCAGGACAATTTTTTTTAACAATCGAACCTGTATTTAACGACTTGAAAAACTTGCACTTCCTCAAGCTTCAAGATAATCGAGATCAAGCTCTGCATCTGAAGCTACCTCTATTTACACACCCATAGTTAATTAAGTGTTTAAGTCTAAGTATGAATAGAATTTACTTCAAATTGTAACCATCTCCAAGACCCTAACACAACTTTAGTTGTTATAAAATGTTAAACCTGCCCAAGTATCTACAAAATCAAGATCACTTTCTGTATTTGAAGCTTCCTCCGTAATTCATTTACATAGTTAAATCAACCATGCAAGTTTGAATAAGTACTATTATTTACATAAACATGTGACAGCTCCAAAACATTAGCCTCATCCAGCATCAAAACCTATGGGTCAGATTCAGCATTCAAGCCTGTCAAGTGCATCAGTATCAAAACACATGCCATCCAAGCAAGTATGGCCAGATTTGGACCTGTAGTAACTAAGATGTGGTCATCAAAGGGCACCTGCTCCAAAAACTTTAACCAGCTCCAAAAACCTTAACCTCATCCAGCATCCAAAACTTATGGCTCAGATTCAGCAATCAAGTCTGTCAAGTGCATAGTATCATAAGACACACCATCCATGCAAGCATGGTTAAGAAATACCAGCAGTAGCTTAGATATAGCCATCAAAGGGCACCTGCTCCAAACATTTTCACCTGATAATTATTCAAAACAACCAAAGTAATTTCGCATGGCAAGTAGTTTCTCTGTGTTTGAATTTTCACATACATTTTTAGCTCACGAAACAAAGTCAGGGGGAGTTTATGCTATACCTTGGTGTCCTAACCTGGTTAAAGTTTTTGGTGCAGGATATGTATCTAAGTAATTACTTGTCCTATCTTCACCAACTTGCATGGATGATGCATCTGGACCTACTTATGGACTTGAAAGACTTGGATGCTGAATCTGGGCCATGAATTTCAGATGCTGGAGGAGGTTAAGGTTTTTGGAATGTTCTCAGTAAAAAAAATTCGTTATGTATGAAAAAAAAAAAGTCTTTAAACATACTGCTTACTAGCTTTACTATTTATGTAATATAAAATACACTGGCATGTCTAAACACACATTATTTCCATACAAACTATTACAACATTTATTGTAAAATTTATATTTGCATTCTTTAAATACTTCTTCGTTTTATTTTGCTTCCTGTTTTGCCAAAATAAGGGTATTCCTACGCTTTAAGTGAATGGTATGATTAGATGGGAAACACCTTTTTAAAAGCTTATAATGTCAGTACAACTTAAATTTGCTTCAAAAGAAATTAGACAGGTAAAATTGAAATACAATTATACAAAACAAGTAACTTGCTATCACATTAATTTCCACAACTTGCTATCACATTAATTTCCACAATTGTCTAAAAATTATCTTCCACATTTTCTTTATAGGCACTTTTCCAAACAGTCAAAATAGGTTTATCATTTTAACTTAATTTTCTTTCCTAGGACTGGTCCTTCATTTGAAAACATAAAAGCCTTTCACAAAAAAACCTTTGTTCAAAATTTGGTTGATTACTAGTAACTACACCAGTTGTTCCATAGAGAAGTTGCCAATACATTAGGGTATGCAAACAGATGGACACAAGAAGAAAAGGTGATCCGAAAAGCTCACTAGAGCATTCAGCTAAGGTGAGCTAAAATACAAAAGTGCATTGTATAAACAGCAGTATGTACAAATAATTATGCTTAATATTAGTGGAGGGGGGGGGGGGAGACTGGGAAAATGCTAAAAAATAAGTGTGCATATTTGAAATAAAAGCAATACATATTTATACATTGTATGTGCATATCATATTTTTTCTCAAATAAGTAACAGCAAGTATTTCAACTGCTTTCACATGACTTCATTGATGATATTAAAGAGAATCAAATGAACAAGGGCCCAAGGGCCACATCGCTCACCTGTGCAACAATAGGCGTGATCAAATCAGCTTATTGGAGTCATAATACAAAATATCTAGAGAATGTGGTATAATACATGTAGATCCTGTATATTTAAAAATCTATCCCCCCCCCGATTATAATCAAGTCCCTTTTCTAACAGGATGATTTTATAGTAATATCACATGTTGAGCATTGCAGTTCTAAAAAAGATCCTAAATAATTGTTAATATGTGGGATATAAACCTACATCAAACTCTGAGTCTAAACAATTTTAAGGAATGAGCAATATGTCAAAATGCTTGCATATTAGAAAAACCATATCTGATAACATTTCAGTATTTGTGAATAATTAAAATGTTTTCCTTTGTACAATTGGACCCAAAATGTGACCCTGACCTACTTCTCAAGATTTTGATTCTAACCAATTTGAATCTACACTATCTGAAGTTGCTTTCACTAAAGTTACAGCTTTTCTAAAAAGAAGATTTTTAAAGATTTTTCTCTATATATTCCAATGTAAAAACTTGTCCCCCCCCCCCTTGTGACCCCGTCCTACCCCCAGGGATCATGATTTGAATACACTTGAATTTACACTACCTGAGGATGCTTCCACACAAGTTTTTGCTTTTCTGGCCAATTGGTTTCTGATGATAAGATTTTTAAAGACATTTCTCTATTTATTCCTATGTAAAAATTCGACCCCCCAGTGTGGCCCCACCCTACCCCGAGTCATGATTTTCACAACTTTGAATCTACACTACCTTAGGATGCTTGCACATAAGTTTCAGCTTTGCTGGCTGATTGGTTTTTGAGAAGAAGATTTTTAAAGATTTACTCTATATATTCCTATGTAAAATTTTGACCCCCCCCCCCAATTGTGGCCCCAACCTATTCCCGGGGGTCATGATTTTCACAACTTTAAATCTACACTACCTGAGGATGCTTCCACATACCTTTCAGCTTTCCTGGCCAAATGGTTCTTGAGAAGAAGATTTATGAAAATTTCTCAATTTTTTTTTTCAATAATTCCTAATTATCTCCTCTTGTAAAAGGGTGTGGTCCTTAATTTTCACAACATTGAATCACCTTTGCCTAAGGGTGCTTTGTGCCAAGTTTGGTTGAAATTGGCCCAGTGGTTCTGGAGAAGATGTTGAAAATGTGAAAAGTTTACAGACGGACAGACAGACAGACAGACGACAGAAAAAATGTGATCAGAAAAGCTCACTTGAGCTAAAAAAAAATATAACAATCTTTTTCTACCTTTAAAATTTTTTAACAATTATCTGTTTTGACAGATTGAACGTTAAAAATTTTCATGCATAAAGTACATGTACTCTGTATTTGATTCTTGTTAAGGTGGTATGGGACATCTGTCAATATTAATGTGAATAAAAGTTACATTATAATCAAAAATACTTTCACCAATTTTCAAATTTTACAATAATTGACCAAAAAATATATTTAAACTAGACAACATTGAGATGGTGACCATTTAGGGCCCCCTTAAATAACAGCCAATAAAATGTAAAGTATTTCGGAGAATTTTGCTTTGACCTTGACCTATAACTTAGAAATTTTCCTGCTGACATTCAATCTAATTACCCCTTACATATGTACATACACACAGGCTTTTTTGTTCAGTCTGAGCAAGATTAAGCAAATGGGGGTTAAAACTACAGTCTAAAACTGATCTCTGATATGACCTTCACAATGCCTTGGATCAAAGTCAGGGCTATGTGGAGAGTATAAACATGTATGCTCTTGAAAAAGGATTTTTGTGTGATCCCAATATGACCTTGACACTTGACCTACAAACATCATTAATCTTAGACATGGTTCAAAGTCACTGCATATCCTTTTACTCAAAGACAATCTCTGGTATGAGCCAGATTGGGCCAAGGGGAGAGAAGTTATTCTCAGGAGAAGAGATCTCGGATAAACGGACGGATGGACACAGATTGATCACTATTGGGCGCCCGAAGAGAGAGGCCCTAAGACTTTTGTAAAGGTAAATAATTTACAATCCTATATGGGGTTCGAACTCATGACTTACAGATTTGTAGTGAACGCTCTAACCTATTGCGTTACGCTGTTCGATGACAATTTTGGAAAAGAAAATATTTACCGGTAGAAAATTACACTCAATTTCATTGTTTATTTTGATAAATAGTACCAAAATAAATAGTACGTCACAATATGGAAGTGTCCCATACCACCTTAAAAAGTCAAATAACGTTTCCCATTTAGGCACTCTAGAACAGCTACATCAGTGCATCTCATCTTGATAAATTTTAAACATCTAAAAGATATTCACAATACCTCTCATATGAAAGAAAAAATCACAAACTGTTCAGAAGATATCTGATCAGAAAGAAGAGTCTTGTATTGTGTTCAATTGTTGATAAAAGATGACAAAAAAGCAAACCAAGTTGGTGGAATACGATGGACTCTATTTTCGAACTTCTGAATTCCCTCCCAAAAATTATCATCATCAGCTAATGAGCTACTTTGATAAGTTCCAAGTAAAACTGATGCAGGAGGCTGTTGTGCTGTAGAAGCATTTTTTCAGTTCCATCTAAGTTCAGCACAGAAATCCTTTCAAATGCACACTTTGTCAATGTAAAGGATTCTTTGTTCTTACTTGCAACAATAACAACAGCATGAACTGCAACATTTTCATTCACAAAAATTTGTTTCACCACATTCAAAGCTTGACCAATTGTATCACCTCGATGCATAGCACCAGTTGCCACTTGAACAAGGTACAATGTTTTTTCCTGAACTTTGACCCTTTTAGGTGACGAACACCCTTCCTTTTCTTCACCAGAGTCAGTATAATAGACAAAGTAATCTATTCCCATAAAATTTGGCACTTGTGGATATACCAAAAATCTATCAACTGACCCTGCATAGTGTTTAATAAAAAGAGAAAATAAGGCAATATTTCTTTCATGACCTTTCAGATCGTCCGGTACATCTTGATGGTGCAAAGACAGGTCTTTTGCGTCACATTCAAAGAAGTTTTTAGCAGGAATAAGTTTCATTTTCAAAGATGATTGTGACACTTCTTGTTTTGTCTGTGATGGCTGATACAACGTATTACCACCATTTTCCGGCAGAAGTACTACTTCCTGCTGTTTTTGAGACTCAACAAACAATTTTTCAAACTCCTTTCTAGCTCCACCATTCTGAAACATAATCTGCAAAATTTTATCAGAACTAATTTTTGCATTGTGAATCATCTCTTCCAAATGATACGGAAACCTTTCTCGCCAACAGTTTGCCAAGTTTGGAATTAAATGTCGAATTTTTACACAAACATCACCAACATCCAAATCCATCCTTGCATACTCAAGGTTACCTTGTACATCCTCAGCTTGGATTTTGTAATGCTGAACTTCAAATATGTTGATCCCTATCCTAAATTCCTGTGCCTCTTCCCATTTCATGATGATTTCACTTTTGTTTGCAATAAAATTGAGAAGAACAGCAGTATGAAGCTGAAACTTGGAATACTCACGACTTTCACAACTTTTACAATTTATGATTTTATGTTGTTTTTCTTTTGTGTACTGTGCAAAAGCATCTTCAACTGTTCCATCTGTTCTTGTGTACATATCCTCTAACACGCTGTTCAATAATCTGGGAGTCATTATGTATTCCTTTGAAAACTCATTATACACTTCCTTTCCTTTTTCCTTTAGACTAAGTCTATGCTCATAACTCTTATCCTCCCTATCTTTTTTCGATATCAAATATTCCAAGGACCCCTTCCAAATGTTTACAAAAGAGTCCTCATCAAGCTGAAATTTTCTTCCAAATTCAGTAAATTTATGTGCACTTGCAGTGAAGCCTGTTTCAATGAGAATAAACTTTGGGTTTTTAACTTGTCGTTCCACAATCTTTTTCATCTTGTTTAGATAATGTGTATTATAGAGAGTTAAATGATCAACAATAATACAGTCATTTTTTTTTAACTTTTTTGAATAAGCGATGAAAAATTCCAAATCTTCATCTCGCTTTTCAATTTCCTTTACATCAACATAATGAACAGAGAGGTCATCATTTTCTCGACACTTTAAAACATAGTAAATCGCTGATGATGTCTTCCCCAAACCTTCAATTCCATTCAAATAGATCCAGGTAGTCTTTTTTGCTCTGTTATCCTTTATTGCCTCCACAAACTTCTCATGAAACTCTGTCTTTATAAAGTATCTTCCCTCCTCGAAGTCAATTACATTGGCTAAAAAGATTTCTTCTTCATCGTCAAATACATGTCTTACAACATTTGCTTCAAATTCCTGAGCCTGAAAAATAAATTGAGTAAGCATGTATATCATACTGATAACTCCTGATTGATATTAAGAAAATTCTGTAGTACTTGGCCTTATGCTATGTAGATTCGTCATGTGGAGTTTTATACCTATAACTGTAATAATTAAATGTAAGATGTTGATGCCAAGGCCCTGGTCATGATATACAGTCCCTGAAACATTTTACTTGCCTCATGGACAGGGAGTGAACGGTAAGCGAACGCAGAGTGCACGGTGAGCAAACGCTGAATGGAATTGAGTAAGCGGCTGTGAACGGTGAGCTCACGCAGAATGTGGAGTGCAAACGGGAGCGAAATGTGAATGGAAGATGTATGATTGGTTCAAACAACTCGGGTTTATCCTCCGTCTCTTACTTCAACAAGAATACATATTAAAATATATAGTATTGTTTTGTTATAAACTTTTGCAAGAACAGGTGCTTTCAATTTCATGTATTAAAATTTGGTCAAGCATTGAAACAAAATTAAAACTAAAATTATCATTAAGATGAAAGAACTGTTAACGTAATCTTTACTCATTTTACTGATGATTGATAATTTAATGAATTCCTAAAGTAGTAATTTATAGCAAGTAGGGAGAACGTTTTAAACTTGCCAAATAAAATGGAAAAAAATCAACACATGTAAATATAAAATGAAGATTTCTAATTTTTCCAATTTGTGTTTACAAATTTGTAGGGACATGCTATCATAGTTGACATAGGTATTCCCAGATTACAAAGCTTACCGAGACTAGGCATCATCTTTTTGAGACCACCTTTATCATATTATATGAAAATCATAGTTAATCATGTTAATGATCTTGGATATTCATGGATACTGTTTTGACACAATATCGTATATCATATGTAAATAATAGTTTGAAAATCATATGTTCATTTAATACTGTATTGTAAGATAAAATGTTTATCAATACAATAATATAAAATACCATATTGCATCCTATGATACTATACAATATATATCATATAAAACATTATTATGCCTCCTGTCAATTTATCTCTATAAATTCAATACTCATCTATTTTCGCATAGTATACAAAGGGTTTATATAGCGTAAACATACTATGCCGAAATAGAGCACAGCAAATATTTTCCTCAAGCTCCTGCACTATGTATCAAACCCTGACTAATATTTAGGCATAGTACATGCACAACACAACACTATTATATAAATATAATACTGTAATATATAACGACACAATATGATATTGTAACATACGATATGACATTGTATCAAGATATGATATTGTATCATATAATATGACATGGTATTGCATCTTGTAAAACATTGTACTTGATCACATAATACAATATCATAATATATAATATATGATACAATATAGTATCATATGATAAAATATCATATCACATAATAAATCACAAAATTGTAACATATGATATTATATTGTATGATACAGTATGATATTGTATTGTATGCCATTGTATCATATATGATACATAATATGATATGTATCATAAGATACAATATATTTGATACAACATTGTATTACAGGTGAATCTCGATAACTCGAACTTCAGGGGACCATGATTAAACTTCGAGAGATCAAGAGTTTGAGAGATCGAAAGTTTAAAAAATTCCGGAAATTTTTGTTCCGGTCATTTTGGTTCTAAAATTATAGTAGCTGGAAGTTTATATTTATAACATGGAACGATAGTCTAACATGATCTTATTCGTATTTTCTGTTACATTACTTCAATTTAAACAATACATAACTTAGTTGTGTGGTTATTAAGTGGGTTTTTTCACGTTAAAAAACTTTTAAGCATATTTTGTTTTCTTAATCATAGAATATATTAAGTAAAGAGCTGTTTAATATATCGTAATTTTCACAAATTGTTGAAATTAATAGATCAGTTACAAATGACCTATCTACCCTTTGAAAGAAGCGAGGGGTAGTGTCAATTACGTAATCAACCAATTAACACTACCACGCTAGCCCCCAGGCGTTCACTCGACCATCCAGGTAAGGTCCACGCGGAGCTATAATTATACGCTTGATCGGCCGCATGTGTACACAGCAACCACTTCGAGTTATCAAGTATGAAAAACAATGAAATATGTATAACGGGACCCAGGTTTTACTTCGAGAGATCAAGGACTTCGAGAGATCGGAGTTCGAGAGATCAAGAGTTAATTTGCTTAGTTATATAGAGAAAAAAAATCAGGACCGTGATTTCACTTCGAGAGAGAACTTTGAGAGATCGAAGTTCGAGCTATCAAGTGTCACCTGTATATCATACAATATCATGTGATATAATAAAATATCATACAATATCATTTCATAATTATGATATTACATATTACAATTTGATTCAACATCATATTGTATCATGTAATTTTTTACAATATAATATATTATGTAATATTGTATCATATAAAACAAAAGTGTTTCATATCATACAATACTACATCATTGGAATCATGTTATATCATTTCACAACAAACACATCTATCAAACAAGTTTGTGTGAGGTAGGAGGGTTTTTTTTAGCATCCTTGATAATGGGGATCAGGCTCTGCATCTGAAGATACCTCTGCGATTCATTTATATTATAGTTAAATCAACTATGTAAGTTTGAAATAGTTCTATTATCTATTAAACATGTGACCTGTTCCAAAAAAACTAAACCTCATCCAGCATCCGAAACCTATGGCTCAGATTTAGCATTCAAGCCCGTCAGGTGCATCAGTATCATAAGACACACCATCCATGCAAGTTTGGTGAAGTTAGGACCATTAGTAGAGAGAGAGAGAGAGAGAGAGAGAGAGAGGGGGGGGGGGACGTTGGAAACAGAAAAAATTGATAAAGAGGGTCAGCGCCGTATTTTATTTATTTAAATTTAAATTAGATGTACACAATCCTTTTTTAACGTTTATTTCCATTTTTTGATTTGCTTCCGACGTCCAAATGAAATATCATTAGTGGAAATATCATGGAGGTATTTGTAAGCATGCATATACTTCTGCTATGTATACAGAGTTACACAACAGCGTCATAGTATAAATATTGTATGTGAAAGTATTACATATGTACATGTATTATAGGAAAGCTTGCATTTGTGCAATAATGATTTAAAAAAAAAAAAAAGCGTGTGCAGAGAAATTGCCGAGTAGATCTATATTCTATATTATATTTACATTCAGTGAATATTTCCCCTTATGTTTGCATTGGAAATCTGTGACGTTCAATTTCCTATGAATTCATAATTCATGCGCCATGAGCACAAATATAAACGTCACCACGTGTTTTGAGTATATCTATTTAAGATTAAATGAAACTTTCAACCTTACATAACCAATTTGATATGTACTTTTGAAAAAATAATCATTAAATTATATCTACTCCCTAATTAACAAGATTTTTCTCTACAAAGTTAATGGCAGTTATATTTTTAGCCGTGGAAGCGTACTAAATAACATGTTAATATGTCTGTTCCATGTATGTTTCATATTCCTGATTGAGAGCGTATATAATGGCTTTACAGCGATGGTACACATATATTTCATACAAAACAACATCAGTATGAATATAAATATAAGCATTGAATGACAAATGCTTATATATTATCATACCGCGCTAATGCGCGGTATTCGATTTGTCTGCACCGCATTGGTGTGTCAAAGGACCGACGACATCCAAAAATGAGCATTCAATGCTTAAATAAAAACATTATAAAAACATCCCATAAATGAAAATTGTACTTTTCCAATATCTACGAGGACAATATGTGTGATATTTTATTGATCTCTGAATCTCTGAACTCTGAATATAAAATAAGGTTCTGAAAAATTGCGTCACAGCGGCTTGAAAACTCTCCACTTGCACACTTAAAATACACCGCTTAGCTGGAGGTGAAACACATGTGCGTATCATGGATATTCAAACTTCGAAGTCCAATTTCTCTTGCAGCAAATTGATTATGCTTTGAAAATTTTTACAACTTTCGAAAGTTTGCCCCGACAAATGGAACACTCCTGTATAATCTTTCGGCACATCCTGAGCAGCAGTATAAATGACCACAATCCAGTATAATACAGTCCATTTCATTGTCTAAACAAATTGTACACCATCCAAACCGCACTTCCAAGTCATCTGTAAATACAAAAAATAAATAAATAATTATAATAAAAATTATTTTAATTAAAGACTCAATAAAGAGGTTATTCTTTTTCTATATGTATTGTATTTCATAGTCTAACAACAACAAACTCTAAATTTATGAGCAGGGAAAAATTCCTTTGCAACAAACATTTTTGTTAAATTTGGTCAGGTCTCAGATGTGAAAATTCAAATAACTATATATACATTAAATTAAGTACTTTTTCATTGTTTCAATTAGGGCTTTGAACATTTCAATTCTGTCACTGTGCATTTGTTCTCTCAGCTCAATCTCCTTTCTGTGTCTTTCCTCTTGTTTCTGTTCACATGTGGTTAAAAACTCAACCATCTCTGATGACCGAGTTTTTCTTCTCTTTATCTTCTTCTGACTTCCCGAACTTCTCTCTTCCTCTGAATCAGATTCATGCATTCTCTTAATATTTCCTGGGGGAGGGGGTGGGATTTCTTCACTTGAGACACTTGAATGACGCGATATAAGACACTTTGGGGAAACAGCATGATCTTTTCCAAGGATGTCCTCCATTTTAGAGTAAAATAGAAAGTCTTTCTTGTCATTTCCAAAAAAAAAAAAAGAAACAAAAACTGTTAGTTCTATGATTAAACATAGGTAATCACAGATTACAAAGCTCACTGAGACGAGGCATCACCATTATGAGGCATCACCTTTATGAGACCACCTCTATCATATTATATAGAAATCATAGTTAATCTTGGATATTCATGGATACTGTTTTGACACAATATCATATATTAAAAATTGTATGATAATCATATGTTCATTTCATACAGTATTATAAGATACAATGTTAATCAAAAAAATAATATAAAAT